AAAGAAAGCAAATTTTTCATGTAATAATAGAAATATAATCTACTTCTACAAAAATTCACATTTAAAGCACTATACCATGAGATTTTGAATTTTATATAAAAATTATCTAACAATTTCTATTCTATTTACTAATCATCAAAAAGATTCTGATATTTTTTCAAAGATCTTATCATCTAAATATTTTTCACTAAACCACGCTCTGTTTGTATTTCTTCTAACCATCTTCTTACTTTTTGCTTATCTATCTCGTGTTCTTTATCCTCAATTTCTGTTTCTTGAAAATTTTCATTTTGTTGATTAAAACTGTTGTTAAATGGAAGAGAATCATTCCTTTCTTGTTGTAATGGTTCACTAAGTCTAACAATGATTCCACAATCAATAGTTTCATGTTGGCTTAAAATTGTATTCATCTCGTTGGTGAGTGCGTATTTCTAACAAATATAATATATATATATATAATAGTTGATATTATTTAAAATAATTTAAAAATAAAAATATAAAATAAAATAAAAAAAGATAGCTACAAATTTGCCCATATAACCTAATGCTCTATTAAATCTTGTAAAATAATAGGAAGGTATTTTGGTTAAAGGTATATAATTGTTATTTTCGCGAAATAAAGTAATTAACTTCAGTTTCGTTTCCACAGTTTCAATATTGTCAACATATCCTTTTCGTTTCGCATCAGGAATATTACGTGGTCGAGTAGGCATCATAAAAGTGCAAATTCTTGAAAAAAAAAAAGAATATTTATTTAATGAAAAATGTGTGATTGATGAAAAAGTTATAAATAAACTAAAAATATATTTATATGCATTTTAACTTTTAAGTATAATGATTTAAGCTTCATTTTATCAATAAACTTTTTGAATTACTACTATCTAGTAAATCAACGTCTCAACTTTTAAACCTCTCCAATTTTATAAACTTCAATTAATCAAATGTTAAGAGTAATAAAATTGACCTTTGAAGATACTGTATAAATGATTCATAAAAATTATTCATAAAAATTTAACTGGCATTCTGAAATAGAAACCATTATGATGTAAATGTGGTGTATTTATACTTGAGCATCTATTATATCATTAGTACATTTCAGCGCTCAAGCCTTGACAAAGTTTTTTTAATGAGGTCTGAACTGTTAATTAATAAATTTGCATTTAAGTAATAAGTAATTTTAGAGTCATCCCCAACGTGTTTATCGAAAGACCTGATTGGTTGAAAAAAAATTGATCGTGATTATCACTTATTCGTGGATATTGATAGACATTTTCTTTCGTAATATGGATCTTCAAGAGCGTCGTCGATACAAAAAATTACTATGTTACTCTTCATGCTAGAAACTCTTAATGCAAATAAAACATTAGTATTCAAAGAATAAACGCATATACTTCATTGTAATAGATTGAAGATAGTTCAATTGATCGTCTTTGTATTAATTGATCGTAACGTTTGAACGTCATTAACCAATTACATTGAGACTTTAATCATTTATTGCATTTGCTGTTTAGGATACGCAACTCTATACAACTTACACAACTCTACGTGCAAGTATCAGGTAATACGTCGATTTATTCTAGAATAAATTGCATATTGTCTTGAAATTTTGCGTACATATTGCTATTATGAAATGAGTGCTGCAAAGCAAAAACCTGTAACTGATCATAGTAAATCATTATGATCAATTACAGGTTTTCGCTCTGCAGCACAAATTAATACCTGTTCAATCAAGAGGTTATACACCTTTATCATTATGTTATTCCTTTATTTATCGTTATCGCTATGTATTTTGAAATTGTAATTTCAGGTATTTGGAGTTGCACTTGACTGAAATTAGCCACTGAAATTAACCACTGAAATTAGCCACTGAAATTAGCCACTGAAATTAGAAGCGCAATTTTAATGTTAACGCTAACGCTAACGTTAACGCCAATAAATTGATATTATGTAATGTGTGTTACAAATACTATCGAAACAACTAGAACAATGATTGTAACATTCTGATACATTTAAATTTTCACTTACAGGTTTTAACTTTGTTTAATAAATAAGAGAATCTAGAATGTTTTCTGAAACAATTTGGTCTTTGTAGCTGTCATTAGTTATTTACTATATAGTCAAATTCGATTAAATTATACATATTTATGCTTTTTTGTTTTATCATTAACTTTTTGCCTATTTTTGCAATAATTGCAAATCAAAGGCTCTTATTAAACTTATTGGGTATTATGATAAAGTATAATAATTATCAACAAAGATTTAATAAAAAATAAAATCTGAAACAAAGCTTGAGAAACTGAAAAAATCAAACAGGAATTATCAATAGAGATTTCCGAAAACTGTACTATATAATATTTCTATAAGCAAGAACAATACCATCAAATTCTTTGACGTTATATTATCAGTGCATTCATATATAAATATCCTGTTTGAATTTTTGAGAGATACAACAACTCATTCTTGCTGGTTTTTTTTTTTTTGTTAGATTAGGATTTAAATTAATAGAATTTTTGTAGGTTTAATGGATTTAAACGGAACCAGCCTCAGTCAATCTCAGCTTCAGCCACCACGGTCGTTAATCTAAAAAAAAATAAATATTGAAATTGTTAGATACTACGTTGCTTATCACGCAAGGCTCTTATTCCCGATTATACGCTTCCAACAAGCAAGTAACATCGCTAACACTTTCCAAAAGCCAGTAAAAACGTCACTCTGATTATATCAGCATTCTCCAAAATTATCTACAATACCAAAATGTCTGTTTAACTAGAGGTATTTTCGTATTATATAAATAATGTCTACTTTCGGTTGATACAATCATATAATTTGTCCAGTTGTTGGTCGTTATAATCAGCAATGTGTATAACTAGGGACGGGAAATCAAACTTATATACATACAGCTTGCACATGTAGTACCAAGATTGTTAGTGGGCATTATACTAACTGGCCAAAAAATTATGGGTACTAGTCAAAATACTGCAGGCCTTTTACTGTACAGCTGAGCATATGCCGACAAGAATGTCAGTACAGACACACGAATGGTGTAGAAACTATTTTGATACCTCCTGAAGTATATCGGCATTGATTGTTGATATAAAGGTGCCGAAAGTATTGCGGTAATTTAATAGTTCCGAAATACAATAATTTCTACATCATGTATATATGAGTGCTGCAGAGCAGAGCAAAAGCCTGTAACTGATCATAGTAAATCATTATGATCAGTTACAGGTTTTCGCTCTGCAAGACACATATAGTACAGACAAATAGATGACAAGTCAAGGTTTCTACTTCCGATAAGACTTATTGACACCAGTATAGTGTGATAAATCATGATGTGTTCTAGTATATATCTATTAAGGAAAGCACATAACTAACGCTAATCCTTCCTCCATGTTAGTAGAGAAGTGAGCAATCTTCTGTTCTCAAAAACAAATATAATTAATACTGACCTCTGTTAGCACGGCTATCGCAAATATTTTAAAGATATAAATTATAACTCATGAGGTTAACAGACGCACTTAATTCTCTAAAGACAAGGGTACACTACATATTCATTATGTGGAAAAGAAATATATCCAATCAAACTTCATTAAAGCAAATTGGGTTCGTTTTCTAATTACAATACGCTCTTACTAATATTATACTTTTATTGTATATAGTAGAATTATACAAAAAAATATAATCAAGCAAAATTTTAAAAACAAATCGATTAAAACATTTCTGTTTTTCTTTAAAAAAGTTTTTATTTAAAAACTAATTTAGTCAATCATCGTCTATCGCTATCAATTAAACTATATATCTCAAAGACTGCCTAAATGGTTAGTGTTTGGTGTTCTAAATAAAAATGTTCAGCACCTCAAAAAACTTCCATTTTAACCCCCCTAGTCCTAATCTTATCTTGACCTATAGCAACACCCTAATCCTAAATTTTAATAGTAAAATTATGATGTGTAGTGTTATTATGAATTTATACGTACGTATAAAGTAACTTGCTTAATAAATTACCAAAAAGGGTTGCAATAGATGCCACACGTGAGTTCGATGCTAAAGTACGTACGAACATCTGTTATACAAATTGTAAGTGAACTAAAAAAAATTAGAAATTTTATTTCCATTGTCATATAACAATGGTAAAATAAACTCTATAATTAAAACTAAATTTTTATGTACATATACACTTTATTTAGCCTAATGTAACACCACAAAAAATAAAACTAATATAAATTTCATAAATAAAAACTATATCCTAATTTTTTTAACAGATTATCAAATTTGTTTTAAAAGATTAATTAATCATTAATCCTCTTTCAATGTTAATCTCCTCATCATTATATCAATTGTTATGATCGCTTCGTGCTCGAGATGTGAGAGGTGACCGATCATGATCATGATTGTCTTCTTCATCGCTATCTCCAAAATGGTCAATATCCTCTGAATTTAGCGGAGTCTCAATAACAAGTTCGGTCCTGTTTTATTGATAATTTAATATGAACATTATTGATTTAATAATTATGAAAAGGATCAAAATATAGAATAATGCGTACATTTCACTGTCTGAACTCCCTACGGCAGCTTTCATCACTTGACTAGTACTCTTCCTACGTCTAAACCTTCCACGAAATACAAAGACTGCCAAAGCAATAACACCACAAATAACAACGATGAGTGTGGCAGTTCCACTAAAAGTTTTTAAACAAAAAATTTATAAAAAAAAAATTAATTGTCGTAATTTATTCAAAATTACAATAAACTAGGAAACTGAATATGATAAAGGTCCGAAGCAAATGCGTAGTTAATCACTAACAGCACATTTGTTACATTAATTTCAGATCCCTCGTAGGATCTGAAATTCTCTATTTTAATTGGTTTTTTCCGCCGGAAATTTCGTGATCATGCTACGTTTCGGACAACAAAAGACTTACGCATTGTAATATCGATTCAATATTTCACTATCTTCACCGTTATAAATCGTGCCATTTGCGTTCGAAGTTGGAGTTGTGGTGTCGGAACCCAACTAGAGCATAGTAACGAAATTAATTTAAAGCTTGAACATTTCACGTGACATCATTACAATAATAAAATACCTTGAACTTGGACGAAAATTTTGTTTCAATATGTTTATCTAGTCCAATAAACCAATACATCATGGACATACTAACTCCAGGTTCATCATAAGGTACCATATGACTAGCGTTGTGAACTACCATAAATGTAAGATTTCTTTCTGACAACATATGTCCGACAAGCTTATCGTTGACAAACCAATGTTTTTCGGTAAGATCCTGTGTGCAATAATACGAAATAAATAAATTGTAACATTATACAAAAATATAAGGCACCAAAAGCAAATAAATCAACCTTAAAACCTTTAGCTCCATTCCACTCCAACCCCTTTATCATATCTTCTATACCGTTTTTGTTACAAATAAGATCTTGATCTCCACTATTAAAATTCAGATGAATAAACGATTAAATAATAATAAAATGATTTAAGATAAATATTATGAATATACATACATGTATAATAAAACATTAATTTGTTTTAAAATAGAAGGCAATAACTACAGCATTATATAGGTACATATATAGTGTATTGGATATTAGTAATAAACTTACAATTAAATACAAGAAACCTAATTTTTTATTTACCTGAACAGCAGGTGGACTTGGATCATCATCAAAGTCATGACCTACTCCATTATTACATTCTGTCCAGCCGATTTGTTGATCGCCAGCATGAATTGCTCCGATAACGTCAGAACGCTAACGAACAGTAGATATTTACCAGAATTGAATTTCATAACTAAATACGAGCATAAAAATTATTTATTATAAATTCTTTCATTACCCGTAAGTATGCGGAAACAGTTTTAATATCATAAGGCCATGACATTCCACAAGAAGGGTATGAATCAGAATGATCTCGGATATCATATTGATTTACACATGTTTCATTCTTTCCAACGCTAGAAGAAAATTAAATATTCAACATATACAAACAATTTATACAATAAACTAATAAAAAAATAAAATAAACTACCGTTTACGCGAACTTTTCAAAACCACTTGAAGAATTTGCTCACACTCATCTAAATGAATTCTGACTTTTTCTTTTTGTGCCTTCATGCAAGTATCAAGCTTGTCTTTGGCAAGAGCCTGTATACAATAAACTATTAAGTCATTGCAATTCCAGATTCATCCCAAAATACTAAAATTATATACCTTATTTTCTTCATCCAAAAGATTATGTTCTACGGCAAAGGTATAATATGCATTGTACTAATATTATATTTATGGTTAGGAAAAAAGCAATTGATAAAACTATCACATACATATATATATATGCACCATACTTGTGTTATAGGGTCAATCCATCCATTACCAATCGCTATTCCTTTGACATTATACTTAGGATTACAATATATTTGTATTAATAGAAGCCAGATAAATTATGAATATGAATAGATATCTTTCAAGATAGTTTCTTTCTTACCTTCAAATTAATAGAACTTTTTCTTTCACTATTACGCTTTAAGATTGCCGAGGCTATGTAAGGTATAAAGGTACCCGCAAAACTTTCACCAGCAATGTATATCTTGAATTTATAAATACAAAAATATAAGAGTCCAATTATTATTATAATTAGCTAGCCATTTAATAAAAAGAATACTTCTGACATACTTCATCTTTAGAATATTCAGGAAAAATTTTAAAAAATTTATCAAGAAAAAGTAAAAATTGACTAGGAATCTAAAAAAGAAAAAGAGATATTATCGTTTACAGATCAATTGTAAACTAATCACAGTAATAATAGTATTCTAACCTGTGTTACATTATGTAAATAACTATCACTATTAGCAAAACTGAACCCAGTTCCAATCGGCTGATCAACTATAAAATAATTCAGATTTACTATAATAAATTCAGTTAACTTGTGAAATAGATTAAAGTATAGTTACCATAAAGCACATTAGCATATTCATTCCATGCACCATCGATCAATCTCAATGTCTGATTACTATTTATTCTCCAGGGACCAGATTCAAGAAACACACCATCCATACTTTAAGATTGAATTTAATTTCTAATAAGTACTGATATTCTGGTAACTAAAAGATCAAATAAAGGCAATTAATTACCTCGAACTAAATAATAAATTATAAAAATATTATACATTAGTATATGATGTCTGAATGGATCTCTATCATTTTTCCGACAACATTTTCCCAACAAACAAGATCCCGACAAAAATTGACCGGAACTAACACCAACCCTAACCTAATGCGGGCTAACTTGTCAGGATTTTGACATTGTCGGGAAAATGATAGGATCCGTGTCTGAAAAGTTGAGTTAAAATATGTGTATTGATGACTTACCATCCAGGTCCTTTAAATCAAAAATTATAATTGATTAGTTTCGAATTAATTTTGAATCGCATGAAATATCTTTTACAATTTAGTCTAAACTCACCACCATTGAGCCATATAATCTAATGCGAA